CGAAGAGGCCCCCACAAATTTGTGGTATCAAGTGGGCAACTACATAGACTATTGAGCTATTTTCAAAGGTTCAACATCAAGTTTGAACCTATCGAGAATAGTTCTCTAATCATATTTTATATTTTATTATATTACTTGCTTGCTCGTCAATAATTTGTAGTTGTAATTGGAGATGATGGACCATTCCATCTCATCAAATCTGTGTCTAAATTGTCCAAAAGGTGCATAAGTTKTTAGTTAGTTAGACTCAAAAATATTAAAATTCTTTCATATTATTAAATTTTGAAGTTTGATTAATGTTCAGTAAATATTACAGTCATTTCTTTTTTCTTGTTTCTTTTTTAAGATATTTTACTATAATTGTATTTTATTAAATTTGCAATTTTTCTTTTGTATTTAACGTAGTTTAAAAGTATTTTATAATAATTAATAGGATATTATTTTTAGTAGTAACTTATTTTAATATTTATACTTTTTCTGTTTCTTAATTAATTATATTTTTTAATGTAAAATCACGCGTATAAATTTAATTTTATTTTACAAACGGTAAATAGAGATTGGATAAAAATAAATAGGGAATTCATATGAAAAATGCATCTCTGAATTGGACCACTTATATGTTAGGCTATTGTGTATGACTTGATTCTATGATTAATATAGTTTTCTTCTTGTTACAGGTGATCATCGTTGGACTTAACAACAAATCATGGAGATATTTTTCTTTTTGAACGCTATGACTACTTTTTAAAATATATATATGTATTTTGTATATTATATTAATTCGCATTTCTGAAGGCGCACACAAAAACTAAATATAACATATACATTTTTATTTGGAATTCTATAACAAATATAGATCTAAATATTTATGAAAATATACTAAAGATTTCGCATATTGTTTTTAACAAAAAAAAATAAATATCAAATTTAAATTAATATTTCAAACACGCAGAAAAGGAAATTTTTCACGATTTTTTAAAATAGTTTCTTAGTCAATTTTTCTTCCTTCTAATTATCTATTGATTTCTTTCTTTCTCATTTCCTGTCGTTCAATTTAAGTTTTTATTTTTTCTGGTACTTAATCATACCGTGGATGAAAGGGGTTTTATTCTTGTACTACGCATACTTACTCATATGGAAATCTTTCATTTGTAGCAATTTTAATCGACATTAATCTGGTTATTGGATAGGGTTGTTATTTTGTTTTTTTTTAGAAATAAAACTGAAATCTTGGATAAAAATGCTTTAAAAGACATTATATGTTTACGAGTACTAGTTTTTTAGAAGATAATAAAAACCAGCGTGGATTAGAAATATAGAAAATATTTATTTTTTTCTAATATAGTACAGAAAAATTAGAATAGCATAAAAAATGATTATCGCAAATCTTCGTGAAAAAAGTTAACGTGTTGTAGACTCTTTGGTAAATGATTTTTTTTAGTATTTAGATTCCTTGATAAATTATATTTATTTGATCCTATAAAAAAATAATTTAAACATGATACAATTATTACCATTGTAAACATGAGAAGTAAACAAAAAAAAGATTATAATGAAAGATTTTACCAATGCTAAATTCAAGCTTTTCTTCTTCTGATATACATTGAATGTGTTGCTGAACATCTGGCTGCGGTTCTTTACTATTGTTAATAAATTTTTGAGTCGCCTTAAAAGCATTATAAATCAGACGAGATTTGGGTGCTTTAGTTAAATAAATTACGCATTGTCCTAATAGAACATCACTTTCAGGCATGCCAATCATTTGACAGGCATTTAATGTATGAACTGCTAAACCTAAAAAATAAAGAATTATTTTTATAATATATTATAATATACTACTGTATTGTGTGTGTAATAATAAGTACAATAATCCCTTCATTAGTAGTTTCACTTTAATATATTTGAGCTCCCAGAGCCCAGTAGTCCCAATGATGTATGTGAAAACAAAAATGCTATTTTAAATTACTTTTTAAGGTTTCATTTATGCACTGTTTTCGTAAAGCCAATTACCTGTGTAAATGAAGGTACTATTGTATTAAAGTTTATTGAAATATTACCTAAAGCATCTGGATCTGATAGACCAATATCTTCACCTGATATTCTAATTAAACGTCTAGCAATATCTACAGGATCTTCTTTAGCAGCCATTATTCTTGCTAGCCAATATAAAGCAGCATTTGGTTTACCCGCAAAAATTGATTTGTGCAAAGCAGAATACAAGTGATGCGTCTGTTCACTTTTATTGTCTGCAATCTTGCTCATATGTATTAAACCGTGTTTGATATCTTCAAGATTTATAATAGATCTTTTATCATGCAATATATTTTTGCTACGAATTGCTAATTCTAAACCACTTAAAGCAGTGCGTGCATCTCCATCACATATTTCGGCTAACCACTTCAATGTGTCGTTATGAATTACAAACTTTGAAATATCATTACAATTTAGTGAATTTTGAATTCTACCACCTATGCAATGTATGCATTTTGTAAGTATTTCAGTGATGTCTTCTACTGATAATTTATTTAATGAAAATACACGACATCGACTAAGTAATGCTGGATTCAAACTGTAAGAAGGATTTTCTATTGTCGTTCCAATTAGAATAAATGTTCCAGTTTCGACATGTGGTAAGAAAATATCTTGTTGAAGTTTATTGAAACGATGGATTTCATCCATAACAACAATTGTTCTATGATCAGATTTAAGTACATTTTTTGCTGTTTCTACAGCTGTTTTAATATCCCCAACACCACAAGCTGTTGCAACTAATTTTACAATATGTATTTTATCTTTGAATTTTTCTTTGGTTAATTGTATTATAACATTGATTAAAGATTTCTAAAACATATATTATACTAGGCTTATTTAAAACAGAAATCAAAAAAGGTATTATTTTAAAATTGGATATTTTAGAGCGTCAAAGTACCTTACCACAACCAGGTGGTCCCCACAATATCATACTAGGAATTTCTCCTATTTCCAAAAAATTATGTAATATTGTATTAGATCCGATTACATGTCTTTGACCTATATAAGAATTAAAGTTTGTAGGTTTCATTCTCTCAGCTAGAGAAACATGATCTGTAACAGTCATCTCATCTTGTCTAGAATTTTGTGATTTTTCCAAAGATGCATAATTTTGTTTCAACATAATGATTAATCATTTAATTAATATTCCACTTATATTAACCACTTGCGGTGCAAAGAAATTTTCGGTTGCGCGTGCCAGAACAATCGAGCGGGAATCCTTGTCTTCTCCGTTAATTTATAGAAATAACATCACTGACTTCGCTATCACTTTCCATTTTATAGTCTGGGGTCAATACTGAAAACTTTACACGATGAAGAGCAAGCAGAAGCTGTGCCTCGGTAAAGAATTTTATTGAACAGTGGACGTGCCACGCACGTCATTTATCTTTCTGTAACAATCGACAACGACGATGCGTAACCGTCGCTGGCGTTCCGGTAAGAAAAGCATGTTAACGTGCGTGGCACGTCTTTCCACCGCAAGTGGTTAAAATAATATGTCTTGAGTTTTTTCAAAGGGATAATTTTTCTCTTAGTTTACATATGAAATTCCATTAATAATATCTTATGAATATCGTTTTCAATTAAATCAAATTATAATTAGAAATAATATTTATTTTTTAAACACTACATAAAATTAAGTATATAAGATGTAAATATATATATATGTACATATGTAAATGTTTATTACATATTACTAGAATTTTTTGTCATATCACTTTATTGCATTTATTCCGTGCTTAACGCATTGCCGACGGCGCTCTGCGCGGTCAAACAGCGCTCAAAACCCGCACATTTCCGAACGCTGTAGCAGCATGCTTGGCGAGCAATCTAAAGCGGATACATACAATTCTAATTTGTTTTTGGTATTATATTCACATATATATTGATTCGAAATAAGACATGAGAACGAGATATCTCGTAACCCGACGCAACGTTTGAGTGCATAAAAACGAGATATCTCGTGAGCCGTACGCAATGTGTTAATATTTTATTCATGTCACTACCGCCATCATACGTTAGGTAATAGAAATATGTGCTTTTTTATGCATTATATCATCGAATTATTCTATCTATTTTTCTGAATTTTCTTCTATGTCATGCTGTCCAGGAGAATGAAAAAGTTTTATTTTAAATTGTAAGTCCTAATTTATAAAATAATCATTAATATAATCTTTATATATGGTGAACTTGTTTAGAAATTTGGGTACAAAGAAATCAATGATTTTATAAACATGGAATCTTTGCGAGATAAGGAGCGCTACCGGTTGGAACAAGAAGCGTTTGTTTCAAACCATGGAGGGACAACGTCACAAGAGGTTGTCCACGTTATTTTACCAAACGTATGCGGTGTTCTTTTAACAATAACTACTTTAGGCCTTTATGGAAAATACTTGCATAGAAATATTAAAATTGTCATAGAATTCGGTTTAATTGTCATACCATGCATTTTATGTTGTACAGTATTATCAGAATACGTTAGTAGTATATGCGTGCTAATGATCATTCTTTCTTTTATAAATATTATGTTAATGAGAATAAAAGTGCATGCATTGACAAATTGCATATTAAGGCCGGTAAGAGGTAAAAGGCCATTTGTAACAAATTTTCGAGCTCTTTTAAATATTATTACAACGATATGTATATTAGCTGTTGACTTTCGTATATTTCCACGAAAATTTGCCAAAACAGAAGTATTTGGTTATAGTTTAATGGATACTGGTGTTGGTGTATTTATATTAGCAAATGCATTAGTTGCACCAGAGGCTCAAGATTTCGGTAGCCCACCAAAGGTAGGTTTCTTTGGTACACTATCAAGGAATCTTAAAAATCCTTTAAAGAGTTCTTTACCATTATTATTGTTAGGATTAGGACGATTTGTAGCTATTGAATTTTTGGGTTATCAAAGACATATTACTGAATATGGAGTTCATTGGAATTTTTTCATAACTTTAGCATTTGTCAAATTATTTACTAGAACAATAACTAGCACAATAAGTTCAAGGTATTCCTTACTTTCTGGTATATGGATTTTGGCTATGCACGAGTATATCTTAACTAATAATGGTTTGAAAGAGTGGATTTTAAGTAATGAACCAAGAATTGATTTTATCACAGCTAATAGGGAGGGTCTCATGTCTATACCAGGCTATGTAGGATTATATCTTATTGGAGTTGCAGTTGGAAGATTAATTCATTCTACTTATTTAAATTTAAACTCGAGTACTACTTTACATCCCAGAAAAAATGTTCATATTAAGATATTTGGATACGATTTAGATGCAAGTTACAATGAATCAATGGTATTATGTGTAAAATTATCATTGATAGCAGCACAGGCTTGTGCTGCAACATTGTTTTGCGATAAATACTTCAGGGTATCTAGAAGGTTAGCCAATGCAGGTTATTGTGCATGGATACTTACATTATCCACTATGATGCTTACGCTTTTATTACTTATCGAAGTAGTAACAGATATATTAATTTATGCAACATCAGATCATAAAATCACAGATAATAAAAATGACAAGATAACAGAAAAAATGAACGAAGTAAAACATAGAAAACATAAAGCCAGTTTTAAAACTAAACGAGAAAATAAGCAGGATGCAAAACAAGAAAATTTGCAAGAGTTACCCATTGAAAGTCCAATTAAAAGGACATTAGAAATATTTGAAGCTGTGAATTATAATGGACTTATTTTTTTCTTATCATGTAATTTGTTAACAGGTGTTATTAATTTACTTATATCAACGCTATACATTGGGAAAAATACATCTCTTCAAATAATAATCTTATACATGGGTGTAAATGTACTTTTCATTTTAATATTATACAGATGGCAAGTTCAAGTCAAATTGTAAAATAAGTATACAAAGTTAATGAAATAAAATTTGTGTATGACATGCGTTAAATGTAAATGTAGCAAAGGATGTATGCCATGTATTAATACCATTGATGCTCGTTGAGCATAATATCTTCTATAATCTAATAGCAGAAAATTAACTTACGTAACATATAGTTACTTACAATCAATGATCCAATAATTGTTAATAAATTAGTTAAAGAAAATAAACACTGCCATGTGCAACGCACAGACATATCGAGAAATATCTCATATTTATTATTTTTTGTATCAAAACAAATATGTATGTACATCAGTATAAAAATAAGAAAAATAGTTTAACTGGTAACAAAGTATTTGTTCTGTATAATTGTAATTGCAACAGTATTTGACACAATAAACCCGTTGTGCAGTATTTTTCTTAATTAAATTTATTATCCTAAATTCGTCATAATTCATCCTTCAATTGAGTATTACTTTGACGTTGTACTTTAGATACTTTTTCTTTATTAGACGTTTTATTTAAGTTACTATTTATATTCTTCGTTTTACTACGTACTTTATCCTTTTGAATCATATTTTTGCTTAAAAAATCTTTAAAAGCGTTATGATGTTTCACGTGAGTACTAGCTAAGGAAACAATACGTAGAAATTCCTTAACTTCAAAATTATAATTCGTAAATTTGGCATGAGCACCACCGTCGGGATGTGTACCCTATAAGAAACAAAATTTTAGTTTAATTGTTATTACATTTTTTATTAATTAACTCTCTATAGTCCCGTGTAATTTTGAAATCACATACCAATATATCAATATTTTTTTTTTAATCTCATTTTTTTATCTCAATATAGCATACACATAATTAATAATTTCTATTTTATAACTAATAAAAGAATCTTTATAGTGATTATCAATACTAGTTTGAAATATTAGATTTAATTTAGTATCTTTGCAAGTTTTTTATTTATCATTAATTTGTATTTAGAGATTAATGTTTGTTGATTCCAAGTGGAAAAAATTCGGATTATAGAGAGTTAAAAAATAAAGAAGATTCTAATCGCTTACAGGATCCTGTTGAATTAATTTAGAATTGTCTTCCCACGTATAATATTTAATACCTCGTAATCTTGCAAGATCTTTGTAACAGCTAGGGTCCTCGCAATTATATCTATAAAAGAAAAATATAATTAGAACACGATATATATTAATAGTTATCAAATATTATTTTGATTTATGAAAGATATTGTTTTTACATTTCAAAAACAGCGGCCCAATCAGGTAAAAACAAGAGGTGCGTCAATCCTGCTCCGTGTATACCGATGAATATATCAGTATTTCTTGTGATTTGAAGTTGTTTTTTGAAAGATACGTTCTTGTTATAAATTACCTAATAAAAAAATGAATTTAATATAAAATTATACATTTAATTTTAAACTTATGTAGATTTTTAATTTCATATACAGGTTATTATAAATTTTATACCTTTCGAACTTCATATTCTTTATTTTCTTTCAAAGCTTGTACTAATTCTTCTTCATTTAATATTTTTCTGTATTGAGTATCTCTGCTCAGTAAAGTTACGCGTATCTTATCATTTTTTCTGTCAAGTAGAGGTATCTTAAGTCTATGTAATACGTGATCTCCAAAAGCTTTAAACAAACCACTATTTTCGCATCCATAAATCTAAAAAAGAAAAAAAAATACGAGATATGTACATGGTCATTAAATAGATTAATTTTAATCTTTGAATAGGAAAGTTGTAGTACACGCGTACGAGAGGTGTGTTATAATAAAGTCCAAAGATCATTCGTGGTAGTAACGGAAATACAAGATTCCGGAAGCAAACTTTTTCACCGCGAAACGTTTTTAAATCCCACAGTGGATTGCTTGTGAAAGCTTCGAACGTATCTTGAAATGCCGATCGATAACTGAAAGTAAAAACAGATACTTATATATATATATATATACATATTCTACGAACTTCTCTTGTTTTTTGTTTTATATCGATGTCAATTACCTGTAACTTTCCCAAATCATTATATGATTGTCCGTACTGAAGGCGCTCGAATGCGAAAGATTTACGTGCAACGACGCATACAGATTGAAGAAGTCGCAAAAATGATGATACATGTTTACTACTAAAACAATTTGTTTTTCTTAAAACTTGAAAAAAAAGCAAAATAAAAAAAATTGATTTACTTACTGGCATCTATTTTCATTATGTACGTAGGTTTTTCTATTACGATATCACAATCGCCTTCTACGATCGGACGTCGATGAAACCTACGAAAGTTTCGTAACTCTGGTCCCCATGATTGTAGTGGGCTGATGTGATCTGCGTTGTCTTGAAGTTTCTTTTCGTTCAGCCTAAATTTGACAGAACGATGTTTTGGCGTTCCTGTTAAATGCTTCGTTAAATCAAATGAATTTTTATTTTAGAAACGCTTAACATTTCCCTTACGTGCAATAACCACCGATTTGTCCTTCTTTCAAAACATCCATTTTGTATCTTATGGGTTCCTTTCTATGTAAAAGATCCGTGAAATTTAATAGAACGTTCCTAGCTCTACAGAATCTCATATGTTCGGAGCATTCCAATGATGAGTCGTCCTTTGACAAATGTTACAATTAAATTTTTCTCGCGAATCTTTTTTTTATAATTTTTGTTTTCTTTATAAATGAAATACTTACGGCAAAAAGAGGCTCGCACAGCATCATCATTTCTCTTCTTTGATCTCGTACATAGCCAAAATCTCCTTGCGCATAAAACGTGTCCAATTGTGCTTTTTTCGTAGCGACCCATCCTTTGTGATCACCAGGACAATAGGGTACGGAAAATGAATTTTCTTCTTTACATTCTGTCTCGTAGCCCCAACATGCTTTGGTATTCAAACTGTCCTGCGATCAAAAGTTTTAAATATATTTCTTATTTCTTTAAATACATGCGCGCTGAATTAACGAATGTTCAAAGTTTAAATATATCGATAAAAAGACAAAAGTAAAATGAAAGAAAAAAGAAATGCTTACCTTATACGGACAGGACGTATCGTTTTGACATTTTTCGGCTACCGTGGGAAAAGAATGAAAGTAATACTTCATATGACTCGCCGGTAAATTAATATCAGTGTAATTTGCATTTGTTAAAGCGACGAGGAATGAAAAAACGATCAAATTTTTAGAAGATGAAAATAATATATACGTCGTTGGCGTCATCGTGTGGCACCTACTATTGCTTCAAGCAAGAAGGAAATCCTTCCAAGAGGTCTTTTCTATACTACCGTCTTTGCACGAAACCGCGCGGTGTGAATGAAAAAGGAAGCCACCTGTATAAGTGGGTGTCCGGCGAGTTCACCCACAGCATTCAGTCACTATAGACACAGACAGACACAGCCACACTCGGTATATACATACATATATACATGTGTATGTTTAATACATACGTAAACGCACGTGCGCGCGTTCACATTCACGCTGCATGCACGAAACGACACGGTAGGACAAGACACGACATAACAAAACGAAAAAGACGAAGCCAACGTTAAAGAAGCACAAGACGCGATGAAATTTCTAATAGCTAGAGAAGAAAGACAAAAGGTGCGGGCTTACATCATCCGTTACAGAATACGATACCGGTTATCCTTGAAAATTTCTTGAGAAGAAGGCACACAGTAGGAAGAAACCTCCTTTTTTCTTTTTATTTTTCGAACAAGTGAATCTAACCGACTAACGTTACGATGCATTTCTCACGAGCTCGGTTGATAACATAGAACTATGCGACAAGTGCATAATTCGGTACGGGAATATGTCGAAAAATAAGAAGAGGAAATCGTCTATGAAATTTAAACTCAGTAATTTGTTCGAATTAAATCTACTTTGTTATGAACGTTTGTTTCTCACAATAATGACGAAAAACGCCTTGATGCATCTGATTTTTCTTGCCTTGCACACAATGCACACGATCAGCTGTCTCCAGTAGCGTTCCTTCACGAATATGGCACCTTGTACACTACAAATAGTATTCTGATCGATTTAAAATAATTCTTTTTTATGTTTTATTTCTTCTCGATATTTTTATTAGATTTACTTAAAGATTCTTTCATTTTTCGAAATTTTATTAGTTTAGAAAATAATTAATAATAGGCTTCCCAGCAAATAGATTCTCACGGTTTTATTACAACTCGTTTGAGTTGTCGATCCGTGACACTACTCTCTTTGTGTATCCAGACGAGAAACCTACTTGTCTCAAGTGGTCGTTCCCTTTTTAAACTCCATAAAGATCCCTCTGTGAAGAGTTCACATGTGTCTTTCTTGAAAGTTATCTGTGCACCGTAATGTGGTATAGTCTCGTAGATATTTAGAAAAACACTTTCTACAGTTGGTATTTCAGTAATTTGTTTTATCGATATGTTGGTACTATAGAACTCCGGTAAAAGTTATGGTGTATTGGTGATAGAGTTTCTGGCGGGAAAGGAATTTAAATCATTAGTTTGAGATCTTCCTGAGAATCATCAAGAGAGGGTAGCAACTTAGCGTATTAACGTATATTTCATCTCATATTTTTCTTAATAAATCAATTATTTGATATTATTATATTTTCTTAGTTAGGCCCATGAAACATTATCTAACTTCGTAAAAATGATGCTTGCAATATTTTCAAACGATAGAATATATTTTTGGAATAGAAATCTTACATTACGTGCCCTTTAGTTAAAGTGCTTTACCGGTTTGACGCGTCTCTTCCTTTAGTGGAAGAAGCTCTCGTGGAAGGGAATTTGTGCGTATGGAAATTCAATAGGGACATGGGAGAAGCAAGGTAGTCGGTAAGGAATCATCCTGCCACACAGTGGCTATTGTCTAACGTCAATGTCGAGTGATGGCTTCCGTTATGCGCTGTACTCTTACGTAAAGTAAATTTAAGTCTCTCTTGAGTCTCGATAAAGCTTACAGGACGCACCCTATGCTAATACACTTGGAATACGTCAAAAATGATTTGGTCGTATACGGTAGAGGAGGTTCGATCGTCTTTCGAGGCGTGGTCGATGCAGATCATATCTTCGCAGTTTATACGATTTTACACGTTGAGGAAGAAGAAAGAAAGAAATAGAAAGATAAAGAAAAGAACGATTTCAATCTAAGGGTTTCCACGTTTGTTGCTCAGAGAACAGGTCGAGTCCCACACTCGGTTAAGCATGAGTAGCATTGCGTAATCTGGAAGACTCGTGTATCAGCTGCAACGCGTTCGTTCGTTCGTTTGTTCATTCGTATGTTGCAGGTGTCTTTCTCAGAGTTCAAGAGATATCGTTCTCGATACAATTAAGAATACCTTTGTAGGAGATCGGCATTGTACATTGTTCGAAATATAACTATTATTTCTCGGTTATGCACAAGATTTTTTTACTTGCGCGAGATTCCTTATCTGTTTCAAGTGCAACGATCGAGAAAGGATAGAAGTTGTGCATCGTTATCTCTGTTGGTTCATCCCGCGGGCTAATCACGATGATCCACAAATCAATGCTAATCGATACGAGAGAATCGAGATATTGGACACGAGCGACAATCGGTTCATGGATACACCTTCGGACACAACCTGTGCCTTGGCGTGACCCGGAAACAAATCTCACCGAACTAGCTCGGTATTGTTACATTCATATAAACGTATAGTATTGAGAAGTAAGTGTGCGTGTTCGTTTATAAGAACGGTATCGATGGAGGACACGACGGTGAGCTTGACCACGGATTGCTGCGGATAGATCGAGAAAACGATCTACATCGATCACGATCACGTCACCCTCGGCCCGACCCTCAACCTGGCCTGATCGCAACGGTACTCCTCCTTCAATGCTATTTATATCGACATCCCGAACTTCGATATTTCTTATTGCGAACGTTTTGTCGCCGTGGTTCGTTAGGTTGCTGCTCATTGCTCTTCCATCGTTTTTTCTTTTATCGATCCGAGACGAAATGAAATGAAATGAAACGAAACGAGACGAGTTAGTTAGATTCTATGAAGTAAAACGTTACGTGTTCAATAGTTCACTAGATTCATGCGTAGGTATTTACATATATGCATGTCAGGTATATGTATACCTACTCTTAGAAACCGAATATCGTAAAGAAACGGATAGATAAATATCCGTTATTGCGTCTCCGATATATATTTACCTTCAAAAGTTTGAGCGATAAATTTGATCGGGAGTTCAGTCGTAAAGAAAAGGTAGACGTGTCGGTGGAGGATTTCAATGATTTTTCGATGAAAACTATTCGTTATTCCGGAAACGACAGAATTCAGTGCTTGGGTTTGCTCTCCTAGCTGTCTCATGAGAATTGGTCAATCTCGATCACCATGACAAGAGACACAGAGAGAGAGAAAAAGAGTAGAAAAAAGAAAGAGTCCGCGACATGTAAGATTAAATGTAAGTTCTGGAGATCGGCGTAACGTGCGACGTCCCGCCGTGGTGGCGCCTCGTGTCACACACTGCAAAACGTGGGGCCCAACCTACGCGAAAATCAACGCTATAATATTCCCTTTTGCCATACGTTAGACGTACAATACGTAGAAAGAGTTCTCTTTCTAGTCTCTGGTCTCTGTCTAACGTATCTTAGAAAAGATAGGAGAAAATTGTGGAGGCGTTGTTCGTGAGTTCTTTGGCGTGCGCGGGTATACACAACACGCGTGCCACCGCGTAGCGGACATCTTGCAAAAGGAGAAACGTGTTCGTTTTTCCCCACCCACGCTTTATCGAAAAAAGCCCTCAACCTTTTTCCTCTTCCGCTTTGCCATTCTTTCATTTCTCCCGTATACCGCAAAAGTACGACGAGACTACTACTACCGGCGTCCAACTTCGAATAGTTTGGTCCTGGTATCAACCTGCAAGCCGCAAAAACCGAGTCGTTGTATATTCTACTGGATCTACCTGCATCTTTTCTCTTTCTCTCTTACATTATTTCATTCTTTCTTTCATTCTTTCATTCTTTCTTTCTTTCTTTCCTCTCTCTGCCCACGCGGGTACATTTGAATACGTACAAAGATGTAAATTATAGCGATTCTCGTCCTTTCCTGGTAGATAAAACGCCGTGGTATCGAGCGAAAGGAAAAAAAGAAATATAAGGAGAGACAATGCGCGTGCTTCATAGATCTCTGTGACACAAAGGCTTCTCTCTTCGAATCTAAAACGTTGCGAAAGTAATAATTAAATCTGGAAAGTTTTGCGGTAGCAGATAAACGTGGATAGATTAGATGGTAGGAAGGAACGAATTGAACAAACGAAAGAATAAAGTTGCTAAAAAAGAGAGAATGAGAGAATTATATTCAAAGAGTATAAATATTAATTTCTTTCTTCTTCGCAATAGCAATCAACGTTCTCTATTAGCTATAGGTAAAATCCGATCGAGACACAAGCAGGAAAATTGCCTATGGGCGTTAGAAGAGTTTGCTATAGAAATTCCATCTCACACGCTAGCCTCTCGTTAGCGACGCTGGACTAATCGCTTAATTAATAGATGATAGATGCTTGCAATTCCATGGATCAGGCCACGCTTCCCAGGATTCCCGCACGCAGCTCGTTACCTACCTTCCTACCTACCTACCTCGTACTAGATTAATTACAAAGCTCGGCCGATTAAATGCAAATTGCATTGGGTGATTTGTCGTGTTATTGAACGCATGAACGATCGTTGGTTGATGTGGTCAAACGAGTAAACTTATGTTTTTCAATACGTATTTAAACCGCGATTGCATCGGTTTTGTTTCAATAAGTACTTACAGGAAACACAATTCCTTTCCTTTCCTTTCCTTTCCTTACCTTTCCTTTCCTTTCCGAATTTATTCTCGTTCCTCGTTGTAGTCCAGGTCAAAGAGTTACGATTTCTGATGGCAAATAAAAATTCAGGAGAGAAACTGCAAAGGTTTAAAATATCGCATGGAGGCTCGCGAAGTGGGTTTAAGGTTTCCTCGACGTACGATCCAAGTACTAACATTGAGAAATCTTTTAAACTCAAGAATCTTTCTTTATTTCTCTCTCTCTGTCTCTGTCTGTCTCTCTTTATTTATCTACTACTTTCGAAAATTCTTGAATAAATTTCGACAAAATAATTCGTTCGGTTCGATGTGCGTTTTGCGAGTGTAACGAGTCACCCATGGAATTATATTACTCGTTATATATCTCGTCTAACACGCGTTTTCATATTAATCGTCAGGATGACGTAAGGATTCAAGATTCAATGGCATCGTAACGCGCACGACGTTAGTTTCTCGCTAAGAACGGCAAAAACAAGTCATTAATCGCGACGGGCCCCACACGTTCGAGATGAATTACGCGAGAAGGCGCGAAACGTGCAAAACTCAGGTACTACATAAGCATATATGTATATACAAGTAAATAAAGTACGTATATGCATATTTAAATATATATGTAAGTATATAAGTATATATATATAGATGTTGGAATATACGGATTCGTGGATCGTTTATAGAATTAAATGACAGGTATAGAGTTGACATTAGAAATGAAGCATACTATTACTTGTCTAGCATCACGTGTATTAGCATTTGCGAAGCATATGTAGATACATAGAATCGAGAGAAAAAGAGAAAGAGAGAGAAAGAGAGAGAGAGATCAAGAGCAACGTATTAGAACTAATTTTCCATCGTAACGATGCGTTTACAGCTGACATTTACTCGTGCACACGCTCTCTCTTTCTACTCTCCTCTCCCAAGTGAATTCTTAACGACCTGTCACTTTCATTGCCGGACATTTAACATAAATATGGACGCGAAACGTCGCCTGAGACTCGCATTCAGTAAAAGTAAACGTATTGTGACGTTTCTATCGTGGAAAGAGAAAGAAAGAAAGCAAGAAAGAAAGAAAGAGAAAGGGATAGGAGAGAGTCTCGTAAAAGGTAATAATAATATCGTGAGGTCGAGGTGCAAAACCGCAAAAGTCTTCAAGTCTACCGAACGAATTCTTGGCTCGTGTTGCAGTGAAAAAAAAAAAAAATAAGTAAAAGAAAAAATAGAGAGGGGTGGGGGAGGACCGATAACCATTTCATCGCGATAAATCCGAGTGTTGGAATTTCTATAGGAAGCTCGATGTTTTTCGTAAAGAAGAAGAAGAAGATGAAGAAGAGAAAGAGGAGAAAGATCAGGATGACAAAGCTGCCGCCTGTTAAACTCGTATTCCTTTACCTGTGCATCTTTCTGCACACGTTTACCC